GTGGTAGGTATGCAAAAAAGATTTGATTACCTCCACACCTCGAGCTCACTTGTTCAAGTAAGCTGTCGAGCTCACTTAACGAAGCAGTGCGCTGAGCTCACTTGCCTAAGTGAGCTGTTGAGCCCTCCATGATCATTCTTCGTGATTCCAAGATGACATGAAAAGCATTAGTTAAGGACAAACATGTGTCCGAGTTTATCAACTAAGCTGTGATCTTCTCTCAAAAACATCATAGACTGGTCATGTATTGTGCCGCCTTCATATTATTTCTCAGGTTGTATGTATGAACCCACAAACAATATGATACCCTACATTCTAAAAATATTCAACAACAGAAAATACAAATTTTGATTATTAAATAAATAAATAAAAGAAATGATGCAATGTAAGACTTAATAAGAAATATTTTTGAGTATTAAGCTTAGGGTATGAATCAGCAGGGCTGAGTTTGAGCCATGTTTAACTTAATCTCAAACTTGATTAATTAATTTGGTTTATGTTTGAACTCGAGCTCAATTCATGGTGTTCTAGTAGGCTTTTATTTTGTTAGTTGGTTTTGAAATGATTTTGAATTAGTGAAATTATTGAAAGGGGAAATTTTATTTTATTTTAAGTGACGTTGATCAAGATCCCACGATTCTTTCATCTCGACATCATTATTAGTTTTGAATTTACTTGTTTAGGGTGGAGAACCCTTGTTAGCAGCTTTAGATTACCTCCTCCAAAAAATTCTCGTAAATCCAAAAGAATGAATTGTTATTATTATGGTATTCTTAATACTTTAGTTTACATGAATGATTTAAATTAATTTATTAAAGTTTGAATTATGATTTTATTTAATTTAATTGAATGTGTTTTGTTATGAAATTTTGAAAGTTGTTAAAATTATTTTGTCAAAAGAGTATGTTGGTCACGTGATACAGAGTTACAATCTTAAAAATATGTCCTAAATCTTCTATCTTAGGGCTTCATGTAAGAAAAGAATAAATTATACAATTTTAAAGTTTTTCGCCCTAGCCATATGTCCTATTTTCTCAACCCCAGGGGTTACTTTTCACAGGTCAAGAATACAACAAATAAAAGAAGAATTGCAGTACAATATGTATAAATGAAGCATATACAATTAAGTACAATAAAAGAAAATGTAGTAGCCCGTACCTGTTGGCTCTGATGGTATTTATTTATATATGTAAGAGTTAAACAAGCATGGAATATTTTTTTGCAATTTTAAATATGAAAACATGAGTATGTACACTTTTGTAATATTAGGTGATCAACATATGAAAGATCAGAACAAGGCAAAAGTTTTGAGTCAGGGATGGGCTTAGCTTTAGGACTTGTGGCTCTGATAATCCTTCTCAAGGGACTTCCATAGGAAACCATCAACACCTATGCTTATAAAGTCCAACCTTTGGTAGAAATTACCAGCAAAATAATCAAAGCAGGGCAGTTCTTAGCCTAATCAATGTAACTGACAAGTGCATATTTAGAATGTAACACATGAAATTCTTAATTTGTCATGCATACAAGTAAATTAGGCTTTTAATAAGCAATCAAAATATTAATTCCACAAGAAAATATTTTATTATATTATTTTATATTTTGTAAATCAGACGTTCCAAAAGTCAATCACACTGTTAGGCTAGAGCTGTCAGCAGCCCAAGAAAGTAAAGGAAACTTCTTACCCAATGCTGGTGAATAGTATCACTAATTATGAACCCTCATGAAGTCATCGGACCAGAAGATATAATACTATTCTTTTATCCCGAATATAACACCAGATGCTTTTTGTATCATCACCCATATCCCTGACATAATGAATTATGCCTCCTCCAATAATCAAAAGAAGCAAATAGAGCAGAAAGGATAAAACCCTCAGCACTAAATAACCAGGAAAGAAATTAAATAGAGGATAAAATGTTTGGTTCCAAAAAATTCGAGCACAGGAGTTTGCACATAAGCCAAGCAGAAAAAGAAAATGGTCTCTACAAAACCTCTCCCTCAAACTCAAAGGATATTTGGAGTTGAAGGGGTAAGATGGATACCATGAAACTCACCGACGGTGAGAACGTGGAGACGAAATCGGTTAGGGCATGCGAGTGGGAGAACGAGTCGATCTCTAAGAAGAGATTCTCCCGAACGAGAGGAGAGCTCTCGGCTAGGGTTTTTTTTGCACATAAGAAGGATCAACATGAGGTGAGGGGGGTGTGTATGCTATATTTTATATTAAAAAATTCTTTTTTTATTTCATTTAATTCATTTTAATAATATTATTCCACTTACACTCGTCATTTTGCACACAGTTTGATCATGTTTGGGGCCCTACCAATATGGGTGTCCCTTCTAGATAAAGCCGACGTTCCAGACGCGCTCACGTGGTCTGTTTCGTTGTCAGGGTTCATTCAGAAAAAAATTTCAATAATTGAGCCAAATTAACTTTGATTTGCATGTGACACGGTGAATGAAGTCTTTTGGTTTGACTGGAGCCATTCAACAAGCAAAATGATGACCAGTCCTTACCTAAACAACAACCAAAGCCTAGTAGTATGCTCTCGGTAGCAAGTCGCTCATCACATGCTAATTGGTCTTCTTATGTCTTTTCCAATTTTTATAGAAATTTGACTTGGGTTTCAATATGTTAGTTTTAATCGACATAATCTAAATGTTGAGCATTCAAAATCACCCATTCGAGACTACAAAAAGTTAAGAATAAGTTCAAATTTTTAAGTAGTATGTGTCCCAATACTAGTCCTCTAGGAGAGTCAAAAGAAAATCCTAAGATTAGGTCCTAGATTTTAGAGAGAGGAAAAGAAAGACCTCATAAAAATGAGGTCAACACAATTCCCAACTATACCTGGGCTTAGGATCAATTAGAAACTAAAATACACAACAGTAAAATAAGATTACAGAAGATTCAAGAAAACTAGAACAAAATCAATCAAAGCAACCAGAAAAGTACACGAGAATTTAACGTAAATAACCCGAGATCAGGAAAATACCACGGAGCCACACTACCAAGGAATTCTACTATGAAATTCAGAAAAATTTTAACAGAGAACTCACACTAATTTTCTCTCTGCACAAAAGAAAACTTATTGGACTCACTTCAAACCCTTCCTGCTCCAATCAGATGCAAAAACACATGCTGATATTCTAAGAAACCTCTTCTCTGACACTTCTTTCCTTCACCACGAACTTGTCGAAGAACTCATACAGAAAGCACAACATCCAGAGCCTATCCAACTTCGCTCAAATTTTGATCTTAAAACCAAAAAAAAATCGTACCAACATTCTCTTGGTGTTTAGGTGCCCAGACTTAGCGCCAAAGCGCCAAGCTCTCTGTTAGCGCCCCTCTTTAGTCAGTGCCCAAACATTGGGCGCTTGAGCACCCCCACCATAGTGCTTATGGGTTTTCGCTTTATTCCCTTTTTTATGTAAACAAATGGGTAATTGTAAACATTATCAATTCTTGATTCATAAAATGTTGATACTCTCCTATCACAATGTTTTTAAAAATCTCACATAAATATCAAATTTTGCAGTCAAATCCTAACTCTTTTTTTTTTTTTTTTAAAAGAACTTTTATCAAACTCCTAACAATTTATTTGACATGTTCAAGTACATATATTTAATAGTTCAAAAAAATATTATGTATAGGATTTCTCCAATAAATTTGTGTTTAAATTTTGATTTCCTTAATTTATAATGCATAAAAGAAAGCTAATACATAAATAGCGAAAATGAATTCTTAGCCTTCTATCTCTATTGCTGATACATCACTAGGAAATCTGTCTAGCACACACAAAATCTTATGGTTTTTTTTATAATATGACTATAATGATAAAAAAAAAGTCCCATTGGAGTTTAAATGAGCTCAAATCAAACACTTATGGTTGGAAGTTTCATAATACTATTTAATGAATAAAAAAAGATCTACATTTCATTTGCTTACAATCAAAATGAGTGTTTAGTGTGTGAAAATCTAACAAATTTAATTAAAATCAATCAATTATTATATCATTTGACTACTTAAATGCAGATGAAATTAGCTATGATTAAGTGAATCAATATGAGTCTTTTTGTTGGAATGTTCAGGCATTTTGCTTTAAAAATAAAATCATCCACTTTTTTTTTTTTATTTTTTTGTTTCACTTAAAGGGAGTTAAAATTGTGTAAAGTCTAAAGATTAAAATATATGTGGCGAATTGTCTAAAGGTCGATGCATGGTAATCACTACGTCTGGCAATCACTAACGCTTGATTACACGCCCCCATCATTTATTGCCCAACCACTATCTTCCAATCGTCGTCGTCCCACCACTATAGCTCCTTCACCATCATTCGATACCACAACTCAATCGCTATTACCCATCATCTTGACCAAACAATTGATATCACCTAACAACTATTGTCATCCTTCACTTCACCTCAAATGTCCATATTCACATCAGGTTCTTTTACACTAGATTATTCCAATAAGGTTACGCCTCATGATTTTTTATATTCTGACTTTCAAAGTAAAAAACTTTAATTTTTTTGATGAATTTTTTTATCTATACATATGAAATTTTCATATAAAACTAAGCTGAAATATCCTATCATACATCAATTTTCACACACAATAAGCCCCTAATCAAGAAATCCATAATACATATTAATTTAAAGACAAGCTGCGGCCTTGTCATATGTAAAAAGAGAAACTCACAATCCACAGCAAGAACTCTAAACCTTCTGTTAACCTTTTATTTGCCTCACACTTAAAAAATTACATGATCCACTTGCCACAATTCCCCCCGATAAGATTCTCGTCAAACAAAAATAACATCAGATCAGTATTTTTTTATCTAATCTGCTCATCTCAATAGACCCCTATTTTGTTCATTACATGGAACTAAAAGCCATCTAGTACTTATTTAATGCATTATTTATGAGTATTGATATATTAGAAATCTCCAACGTGAATTTTTTCTATTGTGCTCTCTCTATCTGCCAACTAATTCCCCAAAAGATTGTCTTACAAACTGCTTAGCTCACCATGATTGATATTAGGCAAAAAGCTCAGAAATGGGACATTTGGATGTATGGCAAGCATTCTTTACTTATCCTTTTAGAGCTTCACTTATCCTCAAGAGACAGCAGGATCATTGACCTGGGTCAGGATGAACTTCAAAGACTACGTACAAACTTATCCTGCACAGCCTGCTCCTTTCCAACTAGATCAGCGTAATTGCTTATTAATTATAAGGCCGAGTAAGATTTGGAACAGGGGTTATGGCTGAAGGTGTCAATCAGAAGCACTGTGAAATCATGTTGGGGAGTGGAGATGATGATCATGATGAGGACTGCGAGCTCTGTAATTTGCCATCTATCTCTGATGATGAGTCTGATGAGTACTTGTTCTCTGAGGAAGATGATGAGATTTGTTTCTCTTCTTATTCTTTGAATTCGTCTGCTGGACCTCTCTGTGACCTATCGTCCATCATGGCTGATCTTCCTATCAAGTAAGTTCATGTTTTGCTCGAAAAGTTTGCGGGAAGAGAAAACTTACAATGAAATTACTGTTTTCTATAACTTAGTTTCTAATCACAGTTTAATGTTTACTAATTAGCTTGCTGCCAGACACTAAAAAGCCTTTTAACAATTTCATATAAGTAAATTTATAGCACTTTAGGCCTTGTTTGCTGAAAAAAAGTAAAAACAAACAATTTATTCTCACAAAAATCAGCTATTGGGACTCCATTTCTCTCATTTTTTTACGAATAATGTTATAAATATTTATACTGCATTTATAAAAAAAAATCTTATTTTTATTCTTTGCAGAAGGGGGCTGTCCAAATTCTTCGAGGGAAAATCTAAATCTTTCTCTTCTATATCTGAAGCGAAATGCATTGAAGATCTTGCCAAAAAGGAGCACCCGTACAATAAGAGGATGAAGTTTTACAAGCGAAATGAGAATTCATATATGAATCAGAAACCTTATAATGCTCCAAATCAAAGCAGCAGAGTTATTTTGAAGAATGCACAAAGAAATTGCTGCGTCTCTATGTTGGGAAGGAGCAGAAGCAGCAGCTTTTTCTACAAAAATAAAGCTTCACCAATTTCAATGCAGAAGAACTGCTTATATGTTCTTATCAAAGAACAGCAAGAGGGATAAGTCCCAAATATAGGAAAACATTGAAGTTTTTATGGCTTTAATGTATTAAGTAACATGTCGGAAGAGGATGCAGAAGTTTGTATGGTTTGACTGTATCAATTCATTCAATAGGTAGACTGGATGTTTTATCCAATTAAAGTTAATCATTAATAACTCAATCAATTTTGAGCTCCAAATTTTTTTGTGCCATGCTAATTAGAATAACAAGAAGAATTCGTATATTGAGCTCATGTAGTGTGGGCTCTGAAAATTCACGACTGCTCCTCAGGACTATTTTATGCATTTATTTTTATTTTTTTGTTTTGATAGAGCTTCGGGAAGTCAATTTTTCAGAAGTCTGATTGGATTGTAGATAAGACACTATTAAGAGATTTCACTCTCATTTTCTGATGATTTTTTGATCTGAGGTTCTGGGTTTCCCATAGGCGCATCCCCAGCGATTAATTACCCCTCCAGATAACTGGAAAGCTTTGATTAAGGCTAGTCATTAAGTATTAAAAATTGAACTTTAATAATAAGAGTCATAAGATTTAAGTTACAGGATTCATCATTTAAAGCTTAAATCGGATAATGGGAGAATGAAAACGAAACCCAAGCAAGATTTCATGGTTCAGTCATCTCGAGTCGTGGTGGTTCCTGTTCTACTCAGTCAGAGGAGATAGCCAACCCAACATTACCAAGGGATTCTTGTCAGCAACCATGAGTTGCGTTGTTCAAGAGGTCTTTATAGATTTGGGATAGATATTTGTCTAAGGGGACAAATTTAAGTCAAACTTCGCTAACAGAAGGTTTTGTGACAATCAACTGTACCCTTATAATTCACAACTAAAAAGGTAGAAAGCCGTTAAGAAAAATAAATATTGCGGCTGTGAACCTAGTGTAATGGTATCATTTGACAACAACCATACGGTCAAAGGGCTCTGGCCGAATCCGTTATTTTGTTGTGTCATTTGATAGCGAAACCACTCAGACCATATTCTTATTGTCATGTGATTACTTTGATTGTGAATATATTGATACATTTAATATGATATTAGCTCTTTGTGAGCTGAAGCCGATTAGAAATTTGTCACCCTCAACAAATTGTTGCGGAAGGTGGATGAGATTTGTTTTGAGTCTTTAGTGATTGATTTTTAGCTTGGATATTTTAATTGATTTTTTGAAAGTCTTGATTTAAAAGATTGACCCCTTTGGTTGAAATCTTCTATCAACTCAGCATCATCGGGGTATTCGAACATTTAAAACATTTATATTTGAAGTGAGTCAATCAATTTTGTTAGTTTAAGTTTTTTAAATCAAGAATGTTGCCAACTTCTATCCTTATAGACAAAAGAATCAGACTAGTTTGGGTGATTTGGACTTGTAGACCCATATTTTAATATTTAGACATTTATTTTAAATTTGGACTCATCAACTCCAATCCTTGTGAAGAGAAGGAACATACTAGTTGGGGTGATTTGGACTTGTAAACTTGTATTCAGAATTTGGACATTTTTCTTAAAATTACCAGACTCGTCAACTTCAGTCATTGTGACGAAGAGGAACAGACTAGTGGGGTGGGACTTACGACCCCATGTGCTCTCTCTCTCTCTCTCTCTCTAAGTTCTACTATACAAACATACAAGCATACTCGAGATGGCATCAAAATGGGAGAGTGAAGGGGGGAGACGAGAAAGACTTCCTCGGTGTTGCTCCTCTTATTTGTTGGTACTAACCACGCTCATTCATATCTCATTAGAAAAGTGAAAGAGAGAGAGAAGAAGAGAGAGAGAGAGACTTCCCCCGAAGGGGGAAAATGGGGGTTCGTTTCCGGGGTTCATACACCCATTTTATTACATAAATAGAATATATTACAAGTGGGGAGATTCCAAGTCCTCATCATGCATCATAAAACCCTCTTATTTATATAGGGTAGAAGGGGCAGAAAAATAAAAATAAAAAATTGCATATCAGGTCTTGCTTTAAAAAAAAAAGCAAGAGGCGTCTTAGTCATTCTTATTTAGACAACTGGATAGTCTCTAGATTCATACAAACCAATTCCAAGTACACACATATATATATATATATATATTATGTTTTTTTTTGACACATTTATTTAATACCTCCTTTATTTTGTATTTATATTAATGTCACCATTTATCAATAAGTACTTGTATTAAACAACATAAATGTAAACTTATTTAAGAGTCGCTAAAAGATTAAAATATTTAATTTACTGACCGTGAGACAATGAATTACACATGTTAATATTTTTGTAATTTGAAGAACTTTTTATATTGTACTTAACCTTTTTTATTATAAATTGATTTTTGCCGTCTCTAATTAATATTTTAGTTTGATTGCAATAATTATTTTGTCTTAAATAACACTCTCTCTGTTTTTGTTGACTAAAATGAAAAATGCATGTTGATTTAAATTCATTATTCCTACTATAGTGAATCACTTTATAAAGATATAGTTTTCTCAAGGCTATTTATGTTTAATATATAAGATAATGCATGCATAAATTTCTTGATATAAATGTTTTTACAAAGAAAAATAATATAATTAAAATTAGTATATTTTAAATAGTTGCTTGATATGTTGACATATTCACTATAATGTTATATTACTAGTAACTGATATTTATTAAGTTTTCTTAAATTTCTAAATAATTATTCCATAAATAATATATAATTAAACCTTATTTTAATGAATATCACTTAAATCCGTAAATATCTATCCAAAATGTTAGGTCATTGAATGGATAAAATAAATTAATGATAGATAAAGATTTGATAATTTGATAATTTTAAAAAAATATTATACTATTTAAAGTAGAATGGCATTAAATCTTAGTTATTATTATCATCATTATTATCATTAACATTATTTAATCAATATGAGCCATAACTATTTCTAATCCCCGATTAAAGGACAAGCCCTTGCAGACTTCAGTATCATGTTCTATTCATAAAACAAATATATCAATGCTGACAGATTGATAATTGTCCTTGTGAAATTTTATTGAAGGAGCAATGGCACTCTTTGACAGGCTAAGCTACTATTTCTTGCTCGTTGGCCTTGTAGCCTTCTTCATTATAATCTTCATCACAAGTGATTGCTGTGTTATGTTATATTTGAAATTTAAATATATCGACGACGAAGTGAATAAAATATCACGATAAAATTCCACCAAAAAGAACACACAGATTTACGTGGTTCGGACAAATTGCATACATCCACGGAGTTGCAGAGGATTTTACTAATTGAGGAAATTTACACCAGTTTGATCACAACGACAATTAAGGATTTTTCACTTGCTCTTTCTCGTTACACCAAGATTCACCCAAGAGCAAGAACACCAAAGAAGAAGAAAAAAATATACAAGAGAAAACCTGTTTCTCTTCTACCACAAGTCACCAAGAATAACACTTTTTTCTTCCCTGTCTTTTTCTTCCTTCTCCTGCTTCCGTAAGTCTCAAGAAAACCCGAAGAACTCTTCCTCTATAAACTGGAAGAAGAAACACCGCAAGGCTACTTGTTATTTTTTGACCCCCAATTAATGAACTAAGGTAAAAGGGTAATTTTGTAATATGACACCGCCACCTACCACATCTCACCTACCGCTCACCTACCACCCACCTACCTCCCACCCCTACCACTCTCTTGCTTCTATAAATAGAGAGGGTGTGAGGACTAGGAGGGCAAGGGAAGAGATATTAAGCTATCACAACGGAGGAGAGAATAACTAGAGAGCTAGAGAGGAGGAGAGCATCTTAAGGCCTTGTATCAAGGTGTCGCTTCAGAGGGAAGCCATAGAAGGAAGATGAGGGCTCATCTCTATGTATAAGCTATGTATTCTCCATTTCTTTTGTCTTAGTGAAATATTTGATTGATTCCCTCCCGTGGACATAGATCTAGTTGGATCGAACCACGTAAACGATCTGTGTTTGCTTGTGTTCTTTGCGTTTTTCATTTCTATGCTAGGAAGTACATATCTCACAACACTACTGTTGCAGTCAATCACTAAAGCAGTTACAAAGAAGGGTCTTGTTCGCGACTTAAAGAGCAGGAACAACGTCGTTTCGCAAATCAAAGGCAAAGAGCGGTGATGTTTCGAGAAACGGGAGAGGCGGAGGCGGGAAGGATAGCGTCGATTCGCGAATGGGAGTAGGCACAGTTCGCGATTGGGAGTAGGCGCTGTTCTGGACTTCGGTGTAGCAGACTCCAACACTAACATGCTGCACCTATGTTTATCAACAGTACCTCTATGTGTGTTATTTGCTCAGCCGCCGTCAAAATGCTTTGGAAATGCGGCGCCGAGTTCAAATTTTCAGTTATCAGAAAGATCAGAAAGTGGGCAGCCCACTTTGTGATCTGCCCACTTTGTGATCTGCCCACTTTGTGATCTTTCTGATAACTGAAAATAGGAACTAGGCGTCGCAATTCCAAAACATTTTGACGGTGGATGAGCAAATTACGCACGGAGTGGTATCGTCGATAAACATACTTGCACCTACCGATAGTGATGTCGATTACAATGGAGGACTGCAAGGCCAGCGATGAAGAAATCCTAGCTTTGTTTGCCGATGAGTGCCATTGCTCCAGCGATAAAAGTTCACAAGCAATTTTATTAACAATTTCAGCATATATATATTTGTTTTATGAAAAAAAAAAAAACATGAAACTGTAAATAATAAATACATATTAGAAATACTCATGGCTAATATTGATTAAATAAAGCTAACATATATATTAATAAGATTTTAATCAATATTATTTTAAATTGTTTTAATAAGATTTTAAATTTATGTTTCGAAATTATTTTTTTTCCTGTTAAAAAATAGAAACCAACATTTTAAAATAAGAAAGTTGTTATGAAAGAAAAAAAGCTTGGCAATGATAACTAAGCCTAGGAACTCTAATACCATGTCTAAAAATAGGAAAATATGTGTGCTCTTTATTTAGTTGAGTGAGTGATATGTTGATACAAGGATGCCTATTTATATTGATAAGAGAAGGAGAAAGTAATAGAAAAAATGCATTGAACTAAAATATTTTTAATAAATATGATATATTCTAATAATAATGAGTATGGATTTTGAACATAAATATTAAAATTTAGTTTTAATATTTATATGGTAAAGAAAAATTCAAATAACTCTATCAATGTATATAGTTATACAAGTTATATTAAAAAAAAAGGAAAAAAAAAGTTTTATTTACCATTAATACATTCATAAAGGGAAACATGTTAAATCATAATCCAAACCAAATAATTTATTTTAAATTTACATGAATGGCACATTCCATCATATTATGAAATTATAGAAGAATTTTCACTCAATAAGTATATTTGATTCAAGCTCAAAGGGCTTGGACACTAATCCTCTAAACTTTTATGGATTTAATGTCAATGTTTGGCTTTGTACCTCAACATTTACAGTCAAATTTTATTCTTAAGAAAATCATCTCATGATTATCAATCATATCTGAGTTAAGATGAGATAATTATAGAAGAGAATATAGATGTTTTCATAATGAAGAAATTTGTTCCATGAAGATATTTTATCCATAAGTATTATAAATGGTCAAATTATATGGCATGCCTTATTTTTTCTAATTAATCTCATTCATGTTTACAAAAAGATAATACTAACCTGAAAGTTCAATATTTAATAATCTTAATTTAGTTAAACAATAATATGATATGTAAGTCATCTTCGAAGCATAAACACGTTCATCTAAATCACCAATATTTTTAATTTAAATATTTAAATGTATATAAAATCAATTCAAATATTTATAAGCTTTTTATGTATATTACATATAAAAAAGCTATCTGATTGTGATAATTCAAATTTCAAAAAACTTTATTCATTTATTAACTAAATATATATAAAAAAATTGTTCATAATTTTTTTTTCTTTTTTATTTCCATCTAATTGAAATATTACCATCATGTAATTATGTATTATATAATTATGCTAATTTTGAAGGCATAACATAATATGTTACATACATTAAATTAAAAGTCATTTACAAAAAAATATATATATATATATTTAAAATATTTCAATAAAAGCAACACTTTTTGTAGTATATTTTTGAGCCTCAAAAAATTGTAAGCATAAGAAACCGTTAAATATTCCTATCACTTATGCTTTGTGGATCATAAATAATATTCATTTTTAGAAAATTAATTATAATAAAAACTAATGAGTTATTGCTCATTAGAAAAAGATATTCAACATAGGTGGGTGAGCTATTTTGATAAACCTTTTAATGAAGTTTTTTAAATTATGTTTGATTTTAGTGATCCAATATCGTGAATAATAATAAAATATTTTTTTTTACAGTCACATGGGTAAAAAGAAATTGAGGAGGATTTATAGTAAACCAAGGTTGGGAAATAAGTAGCACGTGATGATATCCCGATTGAGGTGTGAAAATATTTAGAAGATTTAAGAGTTTCTTGGCTTACTAAACTCTTTAATATTAATTTAAAGACTAAAAGGATGCCTGAGGAGTGAAGAAAGAGAATTTTGATCCCCATTTTTAAGAATAAAGAGGATGTACAAGATTGTTCAATTTATAGAGGAATTAAGTTGATGCGCCATACTTAAAATTTATGGAAGAGGATACTTGAGCTTAGGTTATGACATGTTACACAAATTTCTCATAATCAGTTTGGATTTATGTTGAGCAAGTCTACTATGGAAGCTATACATTTATTGAGAAGTTTGATGGAGAAGTACAGAGAGAATAAAGAGGATCTACATATGACTTTTATTGATTCAGAAAAAATACTTACAATAAGGTTCCAAGGGAAATCCTTTCGAGAGTTCTAAAAAAGAATGGTGTTGATATGACTTATATTTGTGTCCTTAAGAATCTATATACTAGAGATATTACTTGTGTTCGAACAGAAGGAGGGTTGACCAAATATTCTCCTATTTTAATTGGATTACATCAGACATTGACTTTAAGCCCCATATCTTTTTGGCTTTAGTTATGGATGGTCTTGCTGGACATTTACCAGAGGATGTACCTTGGTGTATGCTTTTCGATTATGATATTTTTCTTGTAGATAAGACTAGAGAAAGAATTTAGAAAAAAACTTGAATTATGAAGGTCTATATTGGAGACTATAGACTTTCATTTGAATAGAACTAAAACTGAATACATGTAATGTAATTTTAGCAGTAGTAGCTCTAGAGACAAAATTGTAACTCTGGGTGGTCAAATCATTAAAAGGCGTGAATGTTTTAGATATCTCGGGTCTATTGTTCAAAGTGATGGTGATATAGATGTGGATGTTTTTAGTAGAATTCAAGTTAGTTGGTTGAAATGGATGAATGATTCACGTCTATTGTGTGATAGAAAAGTAATGCTTAAATCGAAAGAAAATTTTATAAGATGGTGGTGAGACCTGCAATACTATATGAAGCAACAAGTTAGCCTTTAAAAGAGAAGTATAAAACAAAGTTAAGTGTTGTCGAGATGAGAATGTCTAGGTGGATGAGTGCCTTGACACTTGGAAGCAAAGTGCAAAATGAATATATTCGTGATAGGGTTGGTGTAGTTTCAATAGCAAATAAAATTAGAGAAAATCGTCTTAAATGTTTTGGTCATATTAAATATAAATCATTTGATGATCCGATTAGGAGAGTGTATGTTTTAGATTCGACTTATGTTAAGAAAGATGAGATAGACCTAAAAAGACTTAGGCATACTATATAAAAAATAATCCTACTTAATTAAAAATAAATGAAAATATGACACAATATGATGCAATGGAGAAAAAAAAAGATTAATTTAGCAGAACCATTGTTGGGATAAAGATTTGTGGTCATCGTTGTTATTAATTTAATAAATTATTTATTAATTATAAGTTATCACTCAATTATGATAATAAAATTATTTTAAATAAAAAATAAAATAAAATCACAAACCTTTTTCTTCTCAACCTGAAACCCTTCCTCCTCACTGCCGGAAACCTTCGCCTACTTCACTTCCCGCCATCGAGCCCCAGCGATACAGTCGCGATTAGAGAAACTGGGAAGGCAACGACGGGATCACGGCGTACACAGACCCGAAATTCCCATCTTTCTCCTCCTTCCTCTCCGCTACTAAACCGGAAGGTAACTTCATTCCTTCCTTTTCGCGCGAAAGCCAGTCTCTGTTCTTCTCTTTTGAGCGCGTGAGCCGTCTCTCTTCTTCTCTCTACTGTGAGCCGTCTCACTTCTTCTCTGCTGCGAGTGTGTTTCGTTTTGGTTAGATCAGTGAAGTAGGGGAAGCTATTCTATCTTTCCCTCTTCCGCGAGGGAGTTTCATTTTGGGTTTTATTCTCTACCACAAGCTGGGATATTTGTATTGCATCCTGCAATCTCCTCACCTTTGAGCAATTTTTGTATTGTGCTGTGTTCTGGTTAGATCAGTGAAGTATTTTATCTTCTTCCATATTTTGTGATCTCAGTTTAGGGTTCGCTCGTTCGGGTACATTTTTTGATATTTTTTTATATGGGTTTATATGCTTATTTTTTCTCGAGGGTATGTTCATATTAGGGGCTGCTTGGAATAGATAATTTGATTGATGAGATTATTTTTGTTCTTGGGGGTGGATTCTAGAAATAATTTGGAATTATAGATCTATTAATATTGCGTAATTATTTATGCAAACATAGTTAGTAAGTGGAGACCGTGGGCTCGACCTGCTAGTATTTTGTTTATGTGGTGTTTTGTTTTGACATAGAATTTTGTATTCTGCCTATTGTCCCATACAAGTTCAAATGCGAGAATTCAACATTGACTCATCTTCTAGTCCAACAATAGATGCCATTGCTATAAGAAATAAGGATGCAATAACAAATGATTGTTAATATGACAATTCTTATGCGGAAAAAGCAAGAAAGAAAGCATCATCAATGTGATATGAATTCTCTATAATTAAGTTCAATGATGTGATAGAAAAAGTGCAATGTAATCATTGCAAACATAAGCTCACAAAGAGCACGCTAGCCACACAATATAAACGACATATACTTCATTTTGGAGGGAGGATTATAATTTGTAAAGGGCAAACAAAATTTATATTCAATCCAAATTGACATCAAATACGACTAATTCGATCATTCCTTGTAATGTCACTAATTGGAAGTATGATTATGCTAGAATGAGAGTTAATTTCTTACATGGTCCTCGTGCACGAGCTTCATCCAATTTCGTAGAATATTAGATGTTCAATATTGTTATGAAAACCATTAGCACTCATTATGAGAAAAAATCATTGACTATATTAAAGATTGATTGTATATTAAGTTATGAGATTGATGGAAACAAAAATATTAAAAAATTGTTAGATTTTGTCAGTAGAGTTAGTGTGATTATTGATTTGTGAAAATCATGACATGATATCCATTATATGATCTTGACATGTCATTTTGTTGATGGCGAATGAAAACTATAGAACTGATTCTTAATTTTGTTAATGTGCTCTCTCCTCATAAAGCAACTTGCATGCATGATATATTATATAAATGCATGACAGATTGGGGTATTAAAAATAAAGTTGCTACAATAATAGTCGATAATGCAACATTTAATACCTCTACAGTGAACATGTTAAAGGCGAGTTTTGAGTTTCATACAAAGCTTCCTCTAAGTGGTAAGTTATTTCTTGTGTGGTGTTGCTCATATATGTTAAACTTATTGGCACAAGATGGGGTCACAGAGATTAAATATACAATTAATATGGTTTGAGAAAGTGTTAAAAATGTTACAACTTCTCAACATCGTATAATTATGTTTAGTGTGGTAGCACAATAATTGCGCTAGCCTAGTAAGAAGTTAATTCTTGGTTGTGTTATTTGATGAAATGCTACTTATGCAATATTATCTCATGCATTAGAATTCGGAGAAGTATTCCTTATGTTTCATGATAGAGATTCTTGTTACACAACATCTGCAACTGAAGGCGATTGGACTAACTCAGGAGAACTTTGTTCATTTATTGAGGTGTTCAATCAAGCAACCTAATCAATATCATGTTACATATTTGTGTTCTTATTTTATTTAGTAAAAATATAATTTTAAATGTTTTATAATATATAATTTTTTGCATGTCAGATTCTGAGTATCCTACCTTTAATCTATTTCTATCAGAGAATTATGGTATTAAAGAGATGTTGAATGGCCACTCGCTTCGTGTTCACCAACACATTAGAGAAATAACAATAAGGATGATAGAAACAAATTATAAATTTGGGGGTAATTGTATTCGTCTCATATCAATTGTTACTGTTTTGGAACCTTAAAACAGAATGAAGATGATGAATTTTTCTTTTAACTCCATCTATAGTGAAGACATTACAAAGATGCACATTAATGATGTTCATAATAGTTAATATGAACTTTACAGGAATATATTGCTGAATACAAATTTGCTAATAATGATAAACTTTTATTAGAAGGTAAAGCAAGTATAATTCAGTGATTTATTCCTCTACTTTTCTAAAAGGGAAGTTCATCAATGGAAAAAAGAAGTATGAAACATACATTAGAACTGATTATACAATTCATTCAATTAAGTCTGAGCTTGATGTATACCTGAATGATGACGTCCTCATTGAGGATAAAACCCCCAGTTCTCATTTTAATTACTTAGATTGTTAAAAGCAAAGATTTTGACATATCATATTCTATCTAAGATGACGTGTGATATTCTTTCCATTCTTATAGTAATTGTATCTTCATAGGCCACTTTTAGTGCTGGTGGTAGAGTAATTGATCAGTATCGATCTTCTTTGGAGATGGAGACGGTGCAACATTTTATATGTGGGAGTGGTTAGTATCATAATTTTTATGGCATAAAGAGAAAGTTAAATGTGCATATCCTTGGGCTTATCAACTTAAATATTTTCTTTTTTAATATGTATTGTACAGCTTAAGGAGGAGGTAAAGGAGATATCGTTATCTTAAAGAATGACAATTAAGGGGGCTTCAAATTTTTATTATGTTATGCTATGCATTTTGAATTTTAATTTCAGTTGTAATGTAACTTGGACACTAAGATATTTTTGGAGTTTGGTGCTTGCTAAGTATGACTTTGCAAGGCTACAAACATTTCAGCATTTCATCTTATAATTTTACTTATATTTCATTTATTGTTGCTTATATCTTTGGGAAAGTTGGTGTTGAAGGTGATATTTCATTTTATGCTTGAAGCATATAATATTTTTTTGATATAGCCTATTCATTCTTTTCACATATAATGACAATTGCAATTGCTTGAACAGATACTATTTTCCTGATTTAGCTTATTCTTTCAATTCATATATAATGATATTTATTGTTGCTTGAACATATATTATTTACTTGATTTAGCCTATTCATTCTTTTGAGCTAATAATGAAATCCAACCTTATAAAGCTTGTTATAAGGAGGTTTTTGTGGTGGTTGGATTAACCCCTTTTTGATATCTCAAGCGAAAGTAAGTGCGGCTATGTTGGCTATTACGGTATGCTCTACTTGTATGCTATATTTTATCAACTTGAAATTTAGAATGCTTATGCTTGTTTCTGTCATGGATTTGATAGCTTTAGATTGAGTCCATCATTTAAAATATATAGCCTGGATTATTTGAGCTCAGTTGTCTGCCAAAATTGCTTCATTTTAAAATATGTAGCAAAATATCATACAAGTTGTAGCTACTGAAAGGGGGGAAGTTTTTACTTTGTGGAATCAAAATATCATACAAAAAGGTATCAGAGATCTCTAATTGCATCTGTTTTTAATCGTAAAAGCCATTTTGTTTCATTTGAGCGTCCTCTATAACCTTTTTTAATCCAAAATTGTTTCAACGAACCATCTTTGTATGTCCTCTGCAAGCTGTTCCTACTTAGGATATGTATAGCTTTGCTGCAAATTATACTAATTTTATTAGTTTTCTTACTGAATCTCTTTATGTAGCTATTTGAATTCAGAACAATGAAAATTTCTTATTTTTCAAACTTTTTAGTTATAATCCATCATTTCATTAGATGTAGATAGGAACCTTTTCGCAGTGTGTAGGATGAAAGTTTAATCCATAATATATCATAAATTTATGATTAATATACAAAGTTATATTCATGCACAAAGTAGTATTATGTTTCTAAATATTACACATCTCAAGCAATAAAACATAATTAATCATCTAATATTTTAACAATAATATTATTGTTAAAATAGTAGAGAAATGAAAAAGAAAGAGCTTAAACTATTAAAATTATATGAACATTTCGCACAAACATAGATAAGATAAAATAAAAACTTAGAAAATAAGATATTTTTACGTGAAAATTTTGGGAAATAGTAAAAATCACAAAAGTTGATCTAGTCCATTTATTCTACCAACATGGCTTAAATAGTGAAAAACGAAAGAACTTTGAGGTGTTGGAGATATCATTAAGAGACAGTTGATGGTTTACTCAGTCATTCTCATTATAAAAGGGTAATTGACAGCTGCAAAGATAAACTTTCACATTGATATCGATGATATATATTGGTCATTAATATTAATGTATAATAAACATCAAACTTATTAACAATGTTAATGGAATAAGTTGGTATTGTTGGTGACAAAAGACATAAACCTTAATTGTAATAAAAGTGTTTGGTTTGGAGTCGATGGAAAGTGTCAATATCGTTAATGCTAATGTGTGTTGGTCTTAGTTACGATAACTAAAATATGAGGTTGGAGTTGACCATTAATGATATGTTTAATCATTCACCCTATACATGAAAAAATTAGGAATCATGAATGATGGCCTCAACATTTGTTGTCAAAGGTAAGTGTGGGTCTTATTAATGTTAACAACAACATCGATAATGGTTATTGACCATGTTAGTGATATTGATAGCAGATGTAGTGTTATCAATGACAGAGAGTGTTAATCTTGATAATAAAATGTGTTAGTTTTAGAGACAAATTTGGGCATCAACTTTATTGTTGATTATAAATAACTTCATTAACAAATACAAGCATTAAAATTAGGGTCAACGACATCCGTCAAGCTTATCAACAAAGATGAGTGTCAATGTTAATGTTGATAACAGACATCACCTCTATTGATCATGATTAATATTAAATTTATCATTAACA